TTGAGCCTATACAGCTTGGAGTAAGACAACATGCATGAAGAGGATGATGTGGACAAAATACTCATTTGCCTAATAATTCTGCACTCCCTGTATAACTATTGCAGGGTAACTAAGGGAGGATTCAGGGTCACCTGATCCAGCCCTAACTATATGCAAAAAGGAAAGTTTTAAGCCTAATTTTAAAAGTAGAGATAGTCAAAGCATTTAGGCATGCAGATATAATCAAGGTGGTGCCTGCTGGAGGTCAAACCGAGGATCAAAAAATGAAAAAAAGATGAGTAAATGTGGCATAATTGTTGATGTCAAACCAGCTGATCTGAGTATTTCAGAGACATACTGATGTAATGAGATTTTTCTGCACAACCATCTCCAGAGTTTATGGAGTGGTCTGAAATGAGAAAATTATTCAGTGTGCTGTAGTTTTCTGGGTTGAAATCCTTTGTTGATGTCAGAGGCGAATGGCTAGACTACTTCAAGCTGATAGGAAGGCAACAGAACCCAAAATAACCACTTATTACAAACAAACAACTAAGATCATGAAACTGAAGCTATATTTTGCACAAAAAGTGTCAGACGGATTGGTGCTGTGGTTGCAATGACGCAGACGCTGTACCAGTCTGAAGGGTGAAGAGACAGTTAAACATAAAAGTGAATCTCTTGATTTACCGGTCGATCTCTGTCCCCACCCTAACCTATGGTCACAAAGTTTAGGTAGTGACCAAAAGAATGAGATCATGGATACAAGCAGCGGAAATAAGCTTTCTCTGAAGGATGGCTGGTTTCTTTCTCCCTTAGAGATAGGGTGAGGAGTTCAGCCATCCAGGAGGGGCTGAGAGTAGAGCTGCTACTTCTCCACATCAAAAGGAGCCAGTTGAGGTGGTTCAAGCATCTGATAATGATGCATCCCAGGCACATTCTGTGTTAGGTGTTTGTGGAAGCAGGTTTCTTTTCTGTTGTGTTAATCACATCAGGGATGTAAGTCCTTAGGTGACGGCCAAGCAGAAAACGAGGTAATAATTCTCTCTGCAAGGGAGAAGGTATAGCCCCCCCCCCTCCCCCCGGTGAGAGGGGCCAACATGTAAGAGTTTGTGGAATGTTCTTTGTCTGTGTCTCTGTATATAAGATGTAAGGGCGGTGGCCACAATTCAGAGATGGTCCTAGTGTTTCACTGGGATGCTCTCTCCTGGACAAGCTGGAGGAGTTGGTTGGTGAGAGGGAGGTCTGGGGTTCTCTCTTTAGGCTGCTGCCCCTGTCAGCCACCGATAAGTGGAAGAAGATGGATGGATTGATGCAAAACTGTTCATGAAGTGAAAGATATCAAGCTACATTCCAAGTCATACTAAACTTTTTTTTTTTATCCCTTTTGAAGGCAATTTGATCCATAGTGTAGTGATTTATATGTTTAACTGTCAAGCAAACAATCCCTGGTTCAAGCTTGAGAGAAAACGTAAATCCTTTGAGGGTTATGTCATGAAGGGTGTGTAGTGTAAAAATCTGCCGAATCAACTCTGTAATGAGTGATTAATGTAGTTAAGAGTAGCTTTTTTTTTTTTTTTCTTTCAAAATTTCTAGACTACACCTAATACCACTAGGTAGCAATAATGTACCAATGGGCAATAGGCCCTGCACTTTGAGTGGTCTGTCCACAGTGTTTCCAAATGGGACCCATAGGGACAAGTTTGGAAGACAGACAGACATGTCTGTCTTCATGCATGTGCTAATATTGGTCAATTTTGTCAGCAATTCTTAGCCTTGTTCTGTTTTCTATAGCAGTGTATTTGCAACAGATAATCCAATTCAACTAGGCAGATGTAATCCCTGCTAGAGAGAATGTGTGATTCTCATACACTGCATTACTGGGACTATTTTTTAACCTTGGTTGTTCCATTTACTCTTATATTATAAGGGATATGGGTTACAGCCATTCCTCTAACACCATTTGCATATAATGTTGTTTTTTGCACAGTCAAAGGAGCATTCAAGAAACATTTCACTGTGTGTTGTGCTCGTATGACTATGCATATGATGAATAAAGAATTTTCTGGGATGCTTAGGACTCATATTGCACTGCTGAAAATAGTTTATTTTGATGCATATGCTGTTTTTTTTGCAAATTTGCATTATAATATTTATTTTCGTTTTTGCTGCAGTATATAAAAATTGGTGTATTTCAGAAATAATAATATGAAGACACTTAAAACAAATTTCCTGTGGTGGGAAACTATTTTGTGCAACTTTTTTGTATTTACAGTTTTGAGGGATAAGCCTCTTAAATTTCTCTAACTAGAAATATATGTTTAAAAAAAACTATTTTAATTCTTTTTGTAGTTTATTGCACTTTGTTGCAATTTATGTAATTACTATGCAATTAATGCAGACATATTATTAAAATTTGGGCTATAATGGTTGTACTGATGTATATCAACTTGAAATGCTCCCAAAAATGGCTCCACAACATGTAAAAATATAATATGAGCTCTGGCGAACTTGGTTCTATGGTAAGCCCAGGTTAGGCCTGGAAGTATCCCCACAGTAGCAGCTAGGTGCAGTTTAGGACATAATGGCTTCCGTGTAGCTATGCTATGGGGACGTGAAAGGGATTGCTCATTGTGGCATTTGACTGTATGGCGCACTTTGTTATATTTTCGCTTGGGTGATACTTTTATTTATTCACATCATGTAAAATGTAATAAATAAATTACAAAATACAAAAACCAACTATTTGCATTTCAACTCCTAACTATTTAAATTTTCAGCTTTTTCCTTTTAAACAAATTTAAAGTGAAACAACACAAAACACTGCAAACCACAACACAATAAAATATAAATTAAAATATGCAAAGCAAAAAGATGCACATTCTCTGTCATATGGGCTTGCATGAATAAAGTTTCTGAGTCCTTTATCATCCACAACTGAAAATAGTTGTGGATGATTACTGGCATAAGTAATTTGAATGCTAGTGTTCGTGGAATTGAAGTGGTCAAAAATGCTTTTTTCCCCCTCTGTAATTAATGCAGTAGATTACCACATGGGCCCATTTCCTGATTTAAAGCAGTTTACTGGAGCAGGGTTCATAGTCTTTTTATAGTATGTTGGCCTCACAGGAGTTATGCTTGAATATCTGCAATGTGATAATAAGTTTAACAGCATTTCTAAACCAGGGGTAAAACAGGGCATACATCAAAGGGTTTATACAAGAGTTAAAATAAAAGATAAAGATCACAAAAGATGCAGCTGGATCATTGACAGCATTTTTATCAGTGAGAGAGTAGCAATAAAATGGACAGTAGCATGACAGAAACACAACTACAAGAACCCCCAGAGTCCTGGCTGCTTTTAGCTCAGATTTGTTTGTTTGATTCAATGAACGCTGAAGTGTGACAGCCGTAACATGAGAGCGCATGGCACGAGCCTGAGACACAGCCACCACAAATACTCTTGTATACAGAACTATGATGATAATAACTGGAAGAATAAAAAATAAAATAAGGTCAACCATTCCAGCAAAATCACTGATGACAAGCACACACTCACCATAACAGGAATTATACCTGCCTGGTTCAATCAGCATTTCTTGCGTATAAAGACTGCAGTAGAAAGTTGAATAAAACCAACATAGACAAACACTGAGTTTGACTCTTGCCACAGTAATTCTTGTGGAGTAATGCAGAGGGTCACAAATAGCCACATAACGGTCAATCGATATAAGAACTATGTTCCCTATTGAAGCACAGGTAAGGTTTACAGTCAGAAAAAAATAAACAGAACACATAAGATCACCAAGTACCCAGCACGTCATGCTTCTAAGGATTTCTGCTGGCATCAGCAAGAGACCCATGAGAAAGTCTGAGACAGCAAGAGAGAGTAGGAGGATGTTGCTGGGTGTGTGAAGCTTCCTGAAATAGAACAAAAAAGAATATATTAGTAATTTTAAAATGTAAAAAGGTCCATTATTAAGACTGTAAGACAAAGACATTAAGGTGTATAAAAATTAAATATTGTGGTTTAAATTGACCAAGAATGTGCCAAATTAATTTCAATTTAGATAATAAATCATGGTGTTAAACTTTTTAAATGAAGATACAGTTTAAGTTTTAGAAACATTATATGTGCCTGAAGTAGGAGACTGAGATGATCACGAGAAGGTTTAGAGCAGCAGTGAGCAGAGAGATGCAGGACAGGACAATGTTCAGGAGCACAGCTTTGGACCAGTGAAGCGTCGGCTTCCTGCAGGAAATGTTGAGGAGTTGTGGAAAACAGAGCTCAGCTCCTTTCTGTATCTCCATCATCAGACAACTACAACCTCTGCAGCTCTCTGACCTGATCTCATTATTATACAGCAGATTTATCTCTGCGTCTGATCTGTCTCCTCCTCTCATTCATGCTCTGTAGAATTCGCTCCTATTTCTCTCTGCACAACCTCTTGGACTGTCATACACCTAATTTACTTTGTTCAACCTCTCTTTCCTTTGCTCTGCTGTGCCTCTTTTTCTCTCTCCCAGTCCTCTCTCCTGTTATTTCTGTCTTTCTCTCATGTGGGCAATTTTGATTTCTTTGCATTTGCTTCACCTGTGGAGTTCCTGCTCCACTCCAATTTCACTTCACCTATTGTATTCTCAAATGCAACTTTCACTTGGTAAACATAATTTGTTCTTACAATAAACTATTAGTAAACTTAGCAAACTGGCTGAAGGGAGCAATCAAAGTGAAGAAGGGGACCTATCAGGGTTAGTCTGTGGACCTCATCCCTAATATCCAATCTCTAATATTCCTCTAATATCTCTAGTAGTTGGTGCATTGTCCCAATTGCCATCTCCATCTGAGAGAGCACAGACCTTCCTCTTTTCTGGTGGCTGCCACATGAGCTCTGAGCACACTAGCACAAAATAAGGACACAGAGATTCACAGTAAATCTTACAAAAATGATACAGAAAGAAGAGTTAGCACTCACTGCAGATACTAAAAATTATTTTATGCATGTATACTGCTAAAACAGTGTGTTCAAATATAATTACTATTAACTAGCTCTGATTCTCTCTGCATTTTTGGTCGTAGAAAATCAGGGCTTAGAGAGAGTGTGATTTCTAAAATGTCCTCTTGTGAGATCGGTGAGCAAATTATTTTACCTGTTCATTATTTATTTTCACTTTTTATGAGTTCACTGTGAGTAAAATATTTCTAACATTTACTGAAGAAATTGTTTACAATGTTTTGTAGAAAGCTATACTTTATTTTGCTTAAAAAAAAACTTGAGGCAATGTCCTGCAGTTGTATTTTTTATTCAGAATGTGATTGAAATTGTAAATATTTAAATTATTGAGAGAAGACACCTCAGAATCTCATCTCTGATTTTTGCGGATCCCGGGGGCGAGGTCACTGAGGCAGTTAAACAACTCCTGGGTGGCAGAGCCCCTGGTGTTGATGAGGTCCGCCCCGAGTTCCTGAAGGCGCTGGACGTTGTAGGGCTGTCTTGGTTGACACGTCTCTGCAATGTTGCGTGGAGATCAGGGGCAGTGCCTGTGGACTGGCAGACCGGGGTGGTGGTCCCCATCTTTAAGAAGGGGGACCGGAGGGTGTGTTCCAACTACAGGGGGATCACACTCCTCAGCCTCCCTGGGAAAGTCTATGCCAGGGTGCTGGAGAGGAGAGTTCGTCCGCTAGTCGAACCTCGGATACAGGAGGAACAATGCGGTTTTCGTCCTGGTCGCGGAACACTGGACCAGCTCTTTATCCTCTCCAGGATACTTGAGGGTGCATGGGAGTTTGCCCAACCAGTCTACATGTGTTTTGTGGACCTGGAGAAGGCATTCGACCGTGTCCCTCGGGGTGTCCTGTGGGAGGTGTTGCGGGAGTATGGGGTGTCTGGCCCATTGCTACGGGCCATTCGATCCCTATACAACCGTTGCAAGAGCTTGGTTCGCATTGCCGGCAATAAGTCGGACTCGTTCCCGGTGGGTGATGGGCTCCGCCAGGGCTGCCCTTTGTCTCCGGTTCTGTTCATAATTTTTATGGACAGGATTTCTAGGCGCAGCCAAGTGGCGGAGGGCTTTCACTTTGGTGGCCTCAGAATCTCATCTCTGATTTTTGCAGATGATGTGGTTCTGTTGGCTTCATCGGGTGAGGGCCTCCAGCTCGCACTGGAACGGTTCGCAGCCGAGTGTGAAGCAGCGGGAATGAGGATCAGCACCTCCAAATCTGAGGCCATGGTTCTCAGCCGGAAAAGGGTGGAGTGCCCACTCCGGGTCGGGGATGAGTTCCTGCCCCAAGTGGAGGAGTTCAAGTATCTCGGGGTCTTGTCGAGTACCTCCTGTCCCTCCCCCTTCACCAGTGGCAGGAGTCTCACCAAGCTCATCTCGGTTTCCTCCTGCCATGCTCCTCGCTCGATAAACCAAGCTCCGTGACGCGCGTGATTGTGGAGAGAGGGAGCCCTGGCGGAGCCCATCATCCCAGCTCGCACTGGAACGGTTCGCAGCCGAGTGTGAAGCAGCGGGAATGAGGATCAGCACCTCCAAATCTGAGGCCATGGTTCTCAGCCGGAAAAGGGTGGAGTGCCCACTCCGGGTCGGGGATGAGTTCCTGCCCCAAGTGGAGGAGTTCAAGTATCTCGGGGTCTTGTTCGCGAGTGATGGGAGAAGGGAGCCGGAGATCGACAGACGGATTGGGGCTGCAGCTGCAGTAATGCAGACGCTGCACCGGTCCATCGTGGTGAAGAGGGAGCTGAGTGTAAAAGCGAAGCTCTCAATTTACCGGTCGATCTACGTCCCTACCCTCACCTATGGCCACGAGCTGTGGGTAGTGACCGAAAGAACGAGATCGCGGATACAAGCGGCAGAAATGAGCTTCCTCCGAAGGGTGGCTGGCCTCTCCCTTAGAGATAGGGTGAGAAGTTCGGCCATCCGGGAGGGGCTCAGAGTAGAGCAGCTGCTGCTCCACATTGAAAGGAGCCAGCTGAGGTGGTTCGGGCATCTGACAAGGATGCCCCCTGGGCGCCTCCTGGGTGAGGTGTTCCAGGCATGTCCCACC